ATTCTGTTTAAATTCTTTTAAACGTTCATAAACCTCATTAAAATTAAACACTGAACTACTTAGACTAGAAGACTTTTTATAAGATTTTGTATATCCGAATTGAATACATATTTCAAAAAGAGCAAAACCATTTAGCAATGCAAAAAAGTTGCAGCAAAAAATCTCCTGAAATCTACCAATACCGTTTTTTCAAATTTTAGGACTTGAAATGTATTTTGTAGAATTGCGTTCACAGATCGCTTTGAATTTTCTTCACCGTGCACCTATGCCAATACGTAAAAATTATTTTACCAGGTACGTATAAGTAATACGTACATATAACAATTAAACTATGTCTAACCAGATAAATACGTAATACCTCAATAAATAATAATCATTTAAATACAGAAAGATTAAAAATATTAACCTTATTTTGCACTTTATTCAGATTGATAATACGTCGCATCATTCCTTCCGATCCTTTTGGAAGAAACCGAACAGTAGAATATCCCAAAATACTATTATCTAAGAACTGTTTTTCAGTTTCCTACAAATAATATATAAAATCAATTATGTACTAAATTGTGAAGTACCAAAGATGTGTCTTTTCAACCAAGAATTTGCATACTTTAGGAACTTCTTCAAAGGTGCTTGCTGGCAAAGATTCTATATTGTATTTTTCAATCCGTAACCAGATATCTTTACGGTAATAAAACACATGATTCTTGTATTTTGCATTGGTAGTTATATAGAAATTAGTCTAAGCAATACATATGAATGTCATAAAATAGATTTAGTAACAAGAAACTTGAATTCAAAAAAGTACCAGGAATTCGAATTTCTCTTACTTGAAGTAGTGGAACAACAAAACAATCAAATATCCACCAAATAAATTCATATAATAGTTCGGATCTTTTACCAGCTTCGACTTTGTTATTTTTGTTGCCCTCCACAAAAAGCCACTTGCACCGTGTAGTCTTAAATTCAATGTATAAATAATATAGAGCTGGTAAAATACGTATATGATGAAATACGTGGCAGATAAATTTTATATACTTTGAATTTATTTAAAACATAGTGTAACGAGAGTTCTTCACAAGATCTAAGTGCGATGAACTTTTCTACAGCTAATTTACGTAATGTATAAGAAGAATAATAATAATGAGAATACGTAATTTATATTAATAATAAATACTATTTCAATTATTCCAAATACATATGCATATTACCTTGGAATATTACTTGTTTATTATCGTTACAACCCCAAAAATCCTCTGGAATTACTCGTTCCAATACTGCACAAACAAATGTGGTAACCTATATTTATTAAAATATAAACAAATAGGATACGTATTAGAAAACAGAAATATGCATCAAATCGTAAAATTATTCATCATGATGAAAAAAATACCTGATATATATCTGAATTAGAGTTGAAATCTTGGATATAACAATAAGAGTTATCATCCGTAGAAGGAGCGGATAACCTGTTTTGCGCCTGTTAGAATCAAAAGATAAAATAAAATAAAATAAAATTATAAATTATTTGTATTTATTTAGTTGATTTTGTAATTGAGATGCTCTCATACCATCTCAGGGCAATAACGCTTGAGTAGGCTTGTGTATCCACATTTTTTATGTCGTGAAATGTATGTCAACATTAAAATTCTAAAAGTAAATCACATAATCAGTATTTGTGTTGGATATTTAGTAAATATAGCAAATT